TATGTTTGCGCCTTTATGTTATCCTATGTTTAAATTTTCATGTAAGCTCTGTTTAAGTTTAGTTTTCTCGCCGTTAGGGGCGCTAAGCATGTAGTAACTACTATCCTTTTTTCTTTTTTGTTATTATAAGCAAGAATGGCGAGCGACGAAGTTTAAGTTTGTAACGAGTACAATTGACAGATCAATAAAGCATAGAATACAACAATTAAATTGGTCCTTCGAGCCGAATCCACAGAGCGTATCTGTGAACGAACTACGATCGAAGCAAGAAGAAAAGAACGCTTTGTTGGTGAGTGCAATATACAAGCAGCAATATGGACGACATTGGCAAGTTGAGGAAGCAAAGAGGATATATCAAGGGCAAGTTAACGAGACTTGAGCATGCAGTGCAGGACCAAGCGGCTACGCTCGACAAGGAGGACGCGGAGGTTCGACTGGAACGACTAGATCAAGTTATCAGCGAGTTTCAAGAGATTCAACGGCAAATGATCGAGAAAATGGACGAGCCAACAGAAGCGGACGACGAGGAAGAAGCCGACTTCGAAGAAAGTAGCTTAACCGTCCGGGCAAAATTGCGGCGTATCATCAATGAAATAAGGTATGCAAACACGAGTGTAGTGGAAGGCGATGGTGGACTGGCGCAGCTAATACAAGGGCGCATGTCAATGGCGGACAAACACGAGAACGCTGGCGTCGCACATTCCACCATGCACGAATCAGAAGACGGTGTGCTAGAGACACTATTAAGAGCGCAAACCGAAATATTGCAGCGTCTCTCGAATAACGCTGTAGATGGCGCCGTCAGAGGAAGTCGAGTCAAATTACCGACGCTCAAGTTACCATCGTTCGATGGAAAGATCGAAGAATGGACACATTTCCATGACGCGTTCATAAAAACGATTCATAGCAATCACACGTTGCCAAATATACAGAAATTTATCTATTTACGTTCGTGCGTCACAGGTACCGCCTCAAAGGCGATAGAAGACATCGAATTGTCGGATGACAATTATGTGGTGGCCTGGGAGCAACTAAGAAAGAGATACGAGGATTCGGACGTCGTAAAACGAAAGCATATTCAATGTTTGTTCGAAATGTCATCTGTAGAAAAGGAATCAGCCGATTCCATTATGAAATTAGTGGACTACGTTAACAAGCATACAAGAGTGCTAAAGAGGTTAGGTGCGCCGACCGAGTCTTGGAGCGACATACTATCGCATATGGTCGAGAGCAAGCTGGATAGAGTCACTTTACGAGCGTGGGAAGATAAAGTTGATGCGCATGTTGCCGTCTCGCTTGACGAAGAAAATAGCGATCGACAATCTAACCTCGATAAACTAATGGACTTCCTGATTCAACGATGTCATACATTGGAGCGTATCGAAAGTAGCAAGTCCAAAACAAATCCCAGCAATGACAAGGGGATTCTCAAGAAACAAGGACAATTACGAGCAAACGAAAAGAGCAATCTATCCAAGAACAACGCTACGGCAAAAATTACATCATTGGCAGGATCAATGGCAATAGGTGTTTGTTTTGTGTGTCAAGGAGCGCATTCTCTGTACAAGTGCAATAAATTCCTCGCCATGAGTCCTGAAGAGCGTAATCAAGAGGCGCTAAGACTCAAGCTATGCATGAATTGCTTGAGAAACGATCATTTTGTGAGAAGCTGCAAACATGGGTCCTGTCGAGAGTGCTCGGAAAGGCACAATACCCTGCTACATCAACCTACTAAAACGAAGCAGCTGAGTGGTACTAAAAAAGGGGAAGAAACGGTAATGGACAGCGACGCGAAGCCAGCATGTCATTCTTCTAGCACAAGCAGATGCTGCGTTCTCATGGCCACAGCGATAGTAGATGCTTCCAATCAAGAAGGATACTGTATGCCGATCCGAGTGCTTTTGGACAGTGGTAGCGAAGCAAATTTCATTACGCAAAATATATGTAATAGCTTAAATTTAAAACGAAATGCAACCTCCGAAGTTGTATCAGGTATATGCGATTCTACTAATCAGGTACGTCAATTCACTAACGTCATTGTAAGGTCAAAACACATGAAATTTGAGGTTAATGCAAAATGTCTGGTCGTACCAAAAATAACTAGCGATTTACCGTCCAGCGAAATAGATAAGAAGAGTTTAAACGTTCCGCCTAATTTATCACTAGCTGACCCCGATTTTAATAAAAGAAGCTCCGTCGATTTGCTCATCGGAGCAGAATTTTTCTATGATTTATTACAAAATGGTAAAATCGAGTTAAATCAGGATAAACTTTTTTTGCAAAATACTAGACTAGGTTGGGTGATAGTTGGATCTATTTCTAAAGACGAGCGAAAAGATGTTGATAGTTGGAGAGCCATAAATATTTTACATTGTTCTTTAATCGAAAATGAAAATTTAGATAAAACTTTGAAGCAATTCTGGGAATTAGAAAATTATGCAAGCTACACTAAGATTAAATGGACCGTCGAAGAGGAGAGTTGCGAGCAGATATACAAAGATACCACTACACGCGATGAACAGGGTCGTTTTGTAGTAAGTCTACCTTTCAAGTCTGAGTGCAAGGGCATTGGAGAAACTCGAAGCACGGCGCTCAAGCGCCTAAATCAGCTAGAGCGACGATTTAAAGCCGATAAGTCGTATCACAAACAATATTTACAGTTTATGCGCGAATACTCTGCGCTGCAACACATGTCTGTCATTGAATCTTGCAACATCGATGACAGCAAACGTGTCATTTATCTACCTCACCATGGCGTGGTGAAGGAAACGAGTTCTACCACGAAATTGCGCGTGGTATTTGATGCCTCCAGTAAGGGTAGCATGGGTCGTTCGCTAAATGACATTTTAATGACGGGTCTGATTTTGCAAGATACCTTAATACAAATACTTTTAAGATTTCGATTTTATAACGTAGCTGTTACAGGCGACTTGGAGAAAATGTACCGACAGATATCAGTTCGTGACAGCGACAGGGATTGTCAGAGGATCTTGTGACGTTTTTCCATGAGCGAGCCGATTAAAGAATATCGATTAAATACAGTGACTTATGGTCAAGCTAGTGCTTCCTATTTGGCTATTCGAAGCGTGCGTCAATTGGCTGAGGAAAACAGAGACGTTTTTCCATTAGCCGCCAAATGCGTTTTAAACGATATATATGTTGACGATATTATTAGTGGTGCCTCATCCATGGAGGAGGCTAGAGAGCTAAAAGAACAACTAATCCTTTTAATGAGCAAGGCATGCTTCCGCGTACACAAGTGGCATTCCAACGTCTCAGAGGTGATGCACGGTTCAAACGAGGAGGAGAATCGAGAAATAGTAAGTCTGAGATTCAACGATACCATACGGACGCTGGGTTTAGTCTGGGAACCAAGCGCCGACGACTTTCTGTTTACGGTCAATTTTCACAAACGAATTCGCACTAAAAGGGAATTATTATCTGAAATCAGCAAGCTATTCGATCCTTTGGGGTTATTGGGTCCCATCGTAACGTTGGCCAAGATATTGATGCAAGAGACATGGAAGGCAGAAGTTGACTGGGATTCCCAGCTACCTGATGACATATTACATAAGTGGGAAAGGTTTCAAGGCGAGCTATCAAGTTCTACATTCTTTCGCATACCACGTAGAATTTCTAGTCAGCCTATTTCACAGGAAGTGATGCTTTATGGTTTCTGCGATGCTTCTCAGGATGCTTATGGCGTTTGTTTGTACGTCCAGGTTTGTGATGAGGGTGAGCATATGGCACGACTACTATGTTCCAAATCTCGCGTAGCTCCTCTTAAAACTATCTCTATTCCACGTTTGGAGCTGTGCAGCGCATTACTATTAGTGCGTTTGTTTAACCAAGTCAAACAAACCTGTAAAGTCGACTTTCGCAGAGTAGCCGTTTACACAGACTCGTTAGTCACTTTATATTGGATCCGGGGGAATCCATCTCGTTGGAAGCCATTCGTGGCTAACAGAGTTTCCGAATTAACTGACATTTTACCAGCAGAAATGTGGGATCACGTAAGAAGCGAAGATAATCCCGCAGATTTGTTATCGAGAGGATCATATCCTACCATACTTCAAGCTTGTAATTTGTGGTGGGAAGGCCCTTCATGGATATCGAACGCTTCCAAGGATATCCAACCTCAATCAAGCAGTCTAGAGGAACAGTTTGTGGAAACAGAGGAGATCAAGTCGGAGGAAAGACATACTCGCATTCCTGTTTGTCACGCCAGAATGCCCGATTCTATTTTTCAAAATTTATTTTCTCGCTTTTCCGATTTGAGTAAACTGGAAAGGATTCTAGCATACTGCCTGCGCTTTGTATCTCGCTGCCGATCAAAATTAAAAGGGATACACGATCTTTTAACCATCGAAGAAATTGAGCTCGCAAGATTTCATCTTCTCAAGAACGCTCAAGCTGATAATTTTCGGGAGGAAACGTTAGCTCTTCTACAAGCCCAATGTGTAAAGCCCTCCAGTAGGTTATCATCCTTGCACCCGTTCTTGGATGGACAAGGCTTGCTTCGAGTGGGAGGTCGTCTGCGGCATGCCCCCTTATCCTTTGCGCAGAAACATCCTATTTTACTACCAGCCAATCACGTTTTAACTAATATGCTGATCGAACGAGAACATAGACGACTTCTGCATGCTGGTCCTCAAGCTCTTCTAGCCGCTATTCGCCAAAAGTATTGGCCCTTACGTGGTAAGGACATCGTTCGAAGGATTTGTCACGCCTGTGTGTGGTGTTCACGACGAAGACCTCGTGCTTCCTCTCAACTGATGGGTGATTTATCGGCTGACCGCGTCACGCCTACTCGACCCTTTCCCAATTGTGGTGTAGATTTTGCAGGTCCACTCATTACCTTGTTAAACAAAGGTAGAGGATGCAAAACCGCCAAGAGTTATATCGCCTTGTTCGTCTGTTTCGCTACCAAGGCTATACACCTGGAGGCGGTCAGTGATTTGAGTACCGCTGCCTTTTTGGCCGCCTTACGCCGTTTCATAGGCCGAAGAGGTTGCCCGCGAAAAATATATAGTGACAATGCTACAAATTTTAAGGGTGCTCAACGAGAGCTCAGAGAAGCCTGCACGTTTTTTCAGCATCAAATCAATGGACCTTTGCATAATCAATTGCTCGAAGAAGGCATCCAATGGATTTTCATTCCGCCCTATTCTCCGCATTGGGGTGGCCTTTGGGAGGCCGGCGTGAAATCTTGCAAGAACCTTTTACGCACTATCATAGGGAACTCTAGTTTCACTTTCGAAGAACTGTGCACCGCTCTCGCACAAGTGGAGCGTTGTTTAAATTCACGTCCTTTGTACGCCCTGTCTAGTGACCCGTCTGATTTGGAGCCTCTTACTCCCGGTCACTTCCTCGTAGGAGGTCCTCTTAATTCCTTGATCGAGATTGACCTCCAAGACGTTAATCTTCATCGCCTCGATCGTTGGCAGCTGGTCCAGAGATCCGTTCAAGATCTTTGGAAACGGTGGGCGGCGGAATATATTAGCTCTTTACAAGGCCGCTCCAAATGGCAGAGAACGCAGCAAGATCTTCAGATAAACGATTTAGTTATTATTAAGGAAGATCACCTCCCTCCTTATCAGTGGAAATTGGGTAGAATTATTGAATTGCATCGAGGGAAGGATGATCTCGTTAGATTAGTCTCCATCAAAACTGCTAGCGGAACCATTCAACGACATATCAATAAGATTTGTAAGTTGCCTGTCACGAATACGTAAAAAGATTATGATTAATCTTGGTGGGCGGTATGTTTGCGCCTTTATGTTATCCTATGTTTAAATTTTCATGTAAGCTCTGTTTAAGTTTAGTTTTCTCGCCGTTAGGGGCGCTAAGCATGTAGTAACTACTATCCTTTTTTCTTTTTTGTTATTATAAGCAAGAATGGCGAGCGACGAAGTTTAAGTTTGTAACGAGTACAATTGACAGATCAATAAAGCATAGAATACAACACTATATTAAATCCGATGCACCGTGCGAAGTATCGATATTCATAAACACGCCAGGACAAATGCAAAACTGTGAAAACGGACACGTTTTATCTAGCACTACCTTGTGGATTACGTTGACGGAGGCTCAAA